CCGCCCCTGCGGCGCTGAGCCGCCGACACCATGGCAGTCCCCACCCACCCGCCCCCGGCCTACTTGTGACCTGGGTGGCTTGAGTGGCCTGAGCCACTGGGCGTCAGCAACAGAAGCAAGACATTTTTCTCAAAGGAAGTACTTCCTAAGTCCCCCAAAGTGGCTAATAAATTTAGATAGAACCATATATGGGGGAGGGGCGGCAATGGCTTAAGGGGGTGGGAGGAAACACTAAGAAGATTGACCCTTACTCAGTAATGCCTACCTGGCTCTGAGGGTCAGGGGTCGAGCTCCCCTCCTGACACAAATTTGCCCCCATAGCACCCTCTGGTGGACGTGCTGTCCGTTCTTTGGGAGGTTCCCCATGCAAGCACGGACCCCTGACATCAGGGAGCTTAGCTTTTAGGGGACTTTAGCCTTGTGGAGATAAGCAGCGCCCTGGGGCCACTTGTTAATTGGGGATTTGCTAACATTGGATCAGAAGGAACTTCGTAGTTTGGGCTTGAGCAAAATGAGTAGATTCTTTAGTTGAAATGTAATCTTCAAAATCAATAGGTATACCATAAAAAGTGAAAAGATACAGATAGGGAAATAGAATAATGCAGCCAGAAGTGATTTTAGAAACTTCCTTGTCCAGAGCTGAATCCTCATTTGGTTTGCTAGGATAATCTGTTTAAGGGCATACATATACCACAGGGCCGAGGACACGGATGGTACTTAATATATACTGTTAACCAAACCTGCATTTTGCAAAGGAGAATCTCTTTTCCACCTCAATCCCTGTCTTTCTCATGTATTACACTCATTCATCCATCCAGCAGCAACTATCTTTCAAGTCCTAAGTGCTGGCTGTGAGCATCCTCCAGTCCCTGGTCTAACTGATTTTCTCTTTAAAAAGTGTCCCCAGGTAGTTCCAAACCAGGAAGCCAAAACAGTGTAGAGAAGTTTTAAGAGAAAATCCAAAAGAGAAGGACTGGCCTGTCACAGATATTGATTATTTCAGTGTGACCAGCCTGGAAAGAAACTCAAGGAAGGCTATTTGCAAGCATAGAGTCCCTGGAGGTTAGCATACAGCCCTGCTGAAGGCAGTTCAAGTTTTACATGAGAAAGGAAAATAAGAAAAGAGAAAATATGCCAAAATCTTAAAAATTATCTTAATTAGGCAGGTGCCTAAATTAGGAGTTTGTACACATCTAAAATACAGAGGAGTAATTTGAAGGAAAACAAGAAAATCTAAATTTAACCCAATTTCCTCCCAGGAAAAAGACTACGATAACAGAAGAGGGGTGGTTTAGTACTGCACACCCCCCCAAAAGTAATAGATCCCTTGACAGATGCCTATTGGGACAATAAATGCATCATAACCATTATAATCATCTAACTGGCTTTTGATTTACCTATTCATCCAACCCCGATTTTATTGTATTTAACATTTGGTATTTACTAAATGCTAGGCACTAGAATAGGTTCTGGAATACAGTGGTGAACCAGACAGATGGAGTCCCTGTCTTGTCGAACTTCAGAAGAACCACTTCATGTCTACCTGAACAGCTATAACCAAAGAGAAGGGCAATAGCAAGTGTTGGTGAGATGTGGAGAAATGGAAACCTCATACAATGCTGGCGTGAATGTAAAAGAGATTAAATATGGAGTTACAATATGACCCAGCAATTCCACTTATCGGTATATTTCCAAGACAAAGCAATGCATATGTCCACAGATAAATTAACACATGAATATTGATGGCATCATAGAGCCCCAAAGTGGAAACAACCCAAATGTCCATCAGTTGATAAGCAGATAAATCAAATGTGGTACATCCACACAATGAAACGTTATTCAGCTATAAAAAAGAATAAAGTACTGGTAAATGTTACTACATGATAAACTTTGTAAAATCATGTTAAGTAAAAGAAGCCAGTCATAGAAGACCAAATATTGTGTGATTTCACTTAAATGAAATATCCAGAATAAGCAGATCCATTGAGACCGAAAAGTTAGTGGTTGCCAGACCCTAGGGGCAGGGGAGAATGGAGTGTATCTGTTAATGAGCTTCTTTTTATATCACAATTTTTTTAATTGAATGAGTTTTCTTTTTGAAGTGATGAAAATGCTCTGGAATTAGGATGATAGTTTCACAACCTTCTGAATATACTAAAAATCACTGAGTTATACACTCAAAAGGGTGAATTTTGTGGCATGTGAGTTACAGTGCAATAAATATGTATTTTTTGAGACAGAGTCTTACTATGTTGCCCTCAGTAGAGTGCTATGGTGTCACTGCTCACAGCAACCTCAAATTCTTGGGCTTAAGCCTCCTGCCTCAGCCTCCCAAATAGCTGGGACTATAGGTGCCTGCCACAATGCCTGGCTATTTTTTGGTTGTAGCTGTCGTTGTTGTTTGGCAGACCTGGGCTGGGTTTGAACCTGCCAGCTCCAGTGTATGTAGCTGGTGCTTTAGCTGCTGAGCTGTAGGCACCCAGCCTACAGTGCAATATTATATACATCAAGAAGTATTGAAGCAGGAAACAACAATATAGTGAGACAGATAAGCTTAGAATGCCTGGCATGTTGGGGGCACTGAATAAATATTTGTTGAATGAATGAATGAATGAATAAGTGCTATGAGATAAGAAGAGTACACTGCTGTTGGAAAGACGGGAGACAGACGCAAACACAATTCCAAGCTAAAACCTCAAAGATGAGTTGGGGATCAGCCAGGCAAGGAGGTAGGACAGGACAACTGTGTTTTAGGAAGAGAATGTTCCAGGCAAAAGGAATAGCATGAGGCCAAGCAGGGTGGCTCATGCCTGTAATCCTAGCACTTTGGGAAGCAAAGGCAGATGGATCACCTGAGCTCAAGAGTTCAAGACCAGACTGAGCAAAAGCAAGACACTGTCTCTAAAATTAGCTGGTCATGGTGGCAGGTGCCTGCCGTCCCAGCTACTCAGGAGGCTGAGGCACAAGGATCGCTGGAACCCAGGACTTTGAGGTTGCTGTGAGCTATGACGCTACAGCACTCTACTTAGGCTGACAGAGAAAGACTGTCTCAAAAAAAAAATAAAAAGGTCTGGAGGCAAGAGAACAAAGGATGTTCAAGGAAATAAAAGAGGCTACACGGCTGGAATAACACGAGGTGGGAACCAAAGCTCAAACCAGTCCTTTAGGGGCAGGCAAAAGGGTCCTGTGAGCTATGGTAGAGATTGTGAACCAGATTGCAAGGGGATGAGGAGTGTGGAAAAACTATCAGCATCCTTATCCTTAATAAGAAAACCAACCAATGATTAACGAGCACTTAGAATGTGCCAAACTCAGTGCAAAGTTCTTTAAAGGAATTTAACATTTAATTCTCCCAAGAAACTTGCCCCCGCCCAAAAGATCTGTTTCTTTACTTACGTGGGCATAGACTAGATAGACACCCCCCGGGGGGAGTGGTAGAAAGCGGGGAGTTGAGTGACAGGACTGATGAAAAACATTTTGTTTCATTACACATCTTTGTGTACTTCAGTGTTTGGGCCATGTACATTCAGATAGAGAGAGACGATAAATAGGTATACAACATATGTACCACGTGCACACGAAAAGGTCACACAGCTAGTAGGAGCGGAACTGGGCGTCTAAGCTTTAGAGAAAATAATGCTCATCAAGGAAAACTTCAGGTGACTATTTTGTTTTCTCTGTATGCTTTCCCAAGGGGTGAAAAAGATGAGATCTGCTTAGCAGCTATATTTCTTCCTGTAAATTCATCGTCTGGCCTGAAGGTTTATATTCCACTCTACTGGTTATTACAAGCCTGCCTCTCTCCCATCTGTCTGGCACCACTGAACAGCTGAGATCCTGCACTGCAAAGGTGAAGCCCCCACCCTCTGGAATGTGATGACAGTAAGCTTAGGAGCCCTGTAGGACCCTGGGTGGCAGCCTCTCTCAGGAAATGCCCTTATTATCTCCTTGTATACTTACAATAGATCACCGACCCACCTGCCACAATAGTCAGGAGAAAAAGCTGATCAAATCTAAAATTGGTATTGCCAAAGCCCTTTGCAAATAGGAGTCCTTAACTACGCTGCACAGCCTGGGTCCTGCATGGTCAAAAAAAAGGGAAAAATGCCTTGGTAGGGCCTACTCCCAGGAAGTGTGGGAAAATCTGCCCCCACAGGGGCAGAAGATGGGGAGGGCTTCCTGTGGCTTTGGAGGGAGACCTTAGTATACCAGTTGGGGGTGGCAACTGAGAAGCTTCCTCCCAGCCCCTCTCAGAGCTCTTTACATTGGTATTGTTTTGCTTGAAAAGAAAAAAAAGTTAAACAGAGAAATCAGGTTAATAAGACACCAGAGGCATGTGAGAAAAAGGCTGGGCACGTTGGCATATCCATAACTATTTGCTGATTGATGAAGAGAGGGAAATCATTAAGGACAGGGCAGAGGTTCAAGGTTCCCAGACGTTAAGGGACTGGGCAGTCAGGTAACTCCACATTCTGCGGAAGAGCAAACAGCCAACTAGAAAGATAAAAGATCATGTTCAAATTGCATGGCTAGTTGCTGATAACAGCCAGCCAAGGCCTAGGATTTCTGAGTCGACAACCTACCTGCTTTCCTAATGGCTTGCCTCATGAGTAAGGGACCTGTGGCCTGGTCACCAAGATGAGGTCTACTTGACAAGGGAATCTCTCTGGTCCCCAGCCTCTGAATTCAGACAGACATTGACACATAGATCTCAGAGGCAGACAGCAAGGAGGAAGCAGCCAGAGAGCTCTCAACTTCACGCTAGAGCCCTCGAGCTTTTGTGACAGTGTCCTGACACGATAGTGTGGGCGGGAAATGGAAAGGAAAGGTCTGAGGAGAAGGCTGAAAAGGTACTCATGCTTCCTCTCCCCAAATTCTGTCAGGCCTTTTCCCATTTAAGAAAGAAAACGTTGAGAGAACAGAGAGCACAAAGGACTTGAAACCCAAGATACTTTCTGTGTCTACCAACCATGACAGGCAGCTTTTAAGAACTAGATAAGAATGAGTTACAGAGGTGGGAGTGGGGGAAGGCCACAGAAGTACTTAGGGAGGGGCAGTCCTACTGGTTTCAGTGGGAAGCAGATTACTACCTTATCACATAGGCAGATAGAAAACTTTGGAATAGCCATGTCTATGTCTGTATCTATCTCCAAAATAAAACTCAACCGTCCTCACTACATCCTGCCATGTGCTCTAATTAATGGCCACACCTATTTGCTAATCAATCATTCAGCAAAGATGTATTGAGCACCTAGGCAGTCGGAAAATAAACAAATGAGTATATCGTATGTTCAATGAATTAATGTAGTCATTTATTCCTGTGTGATGGCACCAGCATGCACAGAAAGTATGTATTTTTTATCTTTCTGCTACGGGGCCTGGCTTGCAGTCTTTTCTCTTCCTGGCTCTCAGAACTGAGGCCCTTCTCTCCAGAGCAGGTCTTGGCCTTTTATGATGGAGAATTGGAAGGACACTGGGAGACAAGAAGAAAGGTCATCAGAAAAGTGTGGAGGCCAACGCTGGAGGAGTTTGTTAAGGGCTGCAGTGTGCCAGAATAGCTGCTGGGATGGGAAAGAAGGCAAAAGGATTCTAAGGATAGTTCAGTTTCTATTCCCTTCCGAGGGTAAAGAACCACAAGTGGCTGGAGGAAGTGTTGTTCACGTGTGATCCCAGCTACTCAGAAGGTGGAGGCAGGAGGATCACTTAAGCCAGGAGTTCGAAACTGTAGAACGTAATGCTCTGGCCTGTGAATAGCAACTGCACTCCAGTAGCCTGGACAACATTGCAAGACCCCTCTTTTATAAGTAATCACAAGTAAAGACCTTGAATAGATTTTGAAATTACTTTTGGTTACACAAGTGTCCTTTTGACCTAAACAGTACTCTGGGTTCGTAACTGTGCTTTTTGCATTCATTCATTGGGCTAATATTCATGGAGTGCCCTGTATATGAAGTCACCATGTAGGGCTGCACAAAATTGACCTAGTCCCTGACCCCCTGAAGCTTGAAAATATTGAATAAATAAATATGAATTAAATTGGGATGTGTATTTTAAAGGAAAGAAATTCAGTGTCATGAGAAGGTGTTAACTGGGGAACAGCTTCATGCCCTTGGAACAAGTCCTGTTCTTCACACTTCAGGGTCTTGTTCACACTCTTGATGGCAAAGTCCTTTTTTTGATGGTATACCCTGCCAATACTTTAATATTATACTGAAAAGCTCAAATGTCGCCTCCTTCAAGATGCTATTTCAGGTCCCCCTTTTAGGTTTTTCTCTTATAATACACAATTCTTTCTGCCAAGCACATAGCTACTGTAGAGTGGCCAAGTGTCACAGTTTGCCTGGTATTGAAGGGTTTTCTAGAATGTTGGCCTTTCCCAGGATGCAGTGCTAAAATGTGGAAAGGACTAGGCAACATGCTGGAGTTGGTTACCCCAACTTAACCTGACAAGTCTGTTTTTTCTACTACATACATCCAACACTTCAGAAGGGAAGAGGTTGACTTAGACAAATAATGACAATAATAGTGGCTTATATTCAAGTATTTACTACATTCCAGGCTCTGTCCTGGGTTCTTTACAGCAATCAAATGAGGTAAGTGATTTCCACTTCTCCAAGGAAATTGAAGCTAAGCTAGTTAAGTAAAGATTTAAGACAATGGGAAACCAAAGAGGAAACTTAATCACCAACCACCATGCTAGCACAGTAGGTTTCAAACTTTTTTTTTTTTTTTTTTAAGACTAGTCAAGTGGGCTCGGCGCCTGTGGCTCAAGCGGCTAAGGTGCCAGCCACATACACCTAAGGTGGCGGGTTCGAATCCCCAGCCTGGGCCCGCCAAACAACA